GTTAGAATTGTGTCGATGTCCCAATATTTCTGGACCTGACTGTATAGATGTGGTACCCAATGCCGATCACTGTAAACAATCCAGAGGTTAATAGCTATGAACAGGACAAAACTGTTACAAAAATTAATAAAGTATTTTTTATTTATTTGATTTTGTTTTTTGAATTCAAATCTGTGGCACCCAATGTTACGACAAGTTGCGACAACTTCTTACCCTCAGAAGAATTGCAAATACTTAATATCCCATATGTAACAACTTTTAATAGCATTTTGAAAGTATACTTGGTAGATACTGCACAAATTCTAATACTATCCACATCACTGTATTACTTTATTCTACTATAATTTATTGATTTATTTATTGCTCACCTAAACTCTCGGTAAATGTTGTTAAAAGCAAGCGCAGCTCCTAGGCGTTTGAAAGCATTAGGATGGAGAGCAAGGCTGTACAGCCTCTTAAAAAGAGATTTGGTGTTCACTGGACTTTTCTCTTGCTGCTGTGGAGTAGTTTGCTTAATGGACCATTTCAAAAATTCACGAACACATTGACCACAGAAGTCTCTTAAAGTGCTGTCTACAGGATCCACTATCCCATCCTGAAACAGAGAACAAGCTTGATTCACTATAAGATGTTTCAGAATTCATTTATTCAACACTAGGGGAAATGAAAAGTAATTTATGTACGGCATTTTTATGCTACCCAAATAATTACAAACAGTAATGACAGCAAAAATTAGCTATTTATCTGTTGCAAGGTAAGTTGCTCCGAGAGATATTTTTGGCTTAATAATAGGGAAAATTCTTTAAATACAAAAATGGATTCCCTGTTGATTGAAATCAACAATCAATTAATGACATTCTACCAAAAAAAAAAATCATAGAAATTAACATAAAATAAACACTAGCAGCATAAGATCCATATTTAAACTACATTATAGCTAGCAGACAAAGGAACAATTAACCTCAAAATTGAAATGCAGAAAAACCAAATTTTACAATTTTGGAAAAAGAAAAAGATCTACTCAGAACTAATGAGTTCCCAATTCAGAATTACAAATAAGTGTTTCTGGGGAGCATATTTCCTAATTCAGAGCCTGATCACCAAAAAAGGCTTTGCCCTTTTCATTCCCATTAGACATAGAACCTAATGAAGAGTTCCTGATGAAGACCTTAATGTTCAGGCAACTAAGGAGGAAATCCTTCTGTTAATATTAGTCCATTATGAATTGGTCCTGAAAATGGACTCAAAACAAGTATCAGTTTCAAAGATAAAATACCTGTGGGTAACATGATATCAGCCATTCTCTGTTAACAATCTTGTCATAGTTTTGACCAGCTAAAGTTTCCAGATTGCCTTCACACAGCTCCGTGCATGATGTATTGCAGTTAGTATGTATATTTAAAAGGTATAGCTATTACAGCTAGTCCTCACTTAATAACCATTTGTTCAGCAACCATTCGAAGTTGTGATGGAGCTGAATGAATGGTATTTACGACCAGTTCTTGAATTTATGGCTGTTGCAGTACCCTTGCGGTCACATGATCAAAATTTGGATGCTTACCAGCTTGCCTGCATTTACGATCACAGCATGCGCTTCAACTCATTCCTGGCTATTTCCCCCCATCTCTGCTCTTTTGATTGCTCTGCACTCCACCACCCCTGGTGCCCTGCAGCCCCGCTGAACTTTGCTATCTTCTTCCTCCCACTGCTGACAAGGCACGCCCAGCCTGGCCCTTCGCAAGGCCTCCCTGAGACCTCAGGAAGGCCATGCACAACTAGCAGTTGCCTCGTGCTGGGTGCGCCTCGTCAGCAGCGAGGGGAAGCTGATGGTGAAAGTCAGTGGGGGATGCTGGGGGTGCAGGGCAGCAGGGATGGCAGGGTGGCCGAAAGGGCTGAGATGGGAGAAGACAGGCGGGGGGGGGGGGGGGTCTCGGCAGAGGCGAGGGGAGGCTGATGGTGAAAGTCGGTGGGGGATGCTGGGGGTGCAGGGCAGCAGGGATGGCAGGGTGGCCGAAAGGGCTGAGATGGGAGAAGACAGGCGGGGGGGGGGGAGTTGAGGCGGAAGTGAGTATGGCAGGGCAGGAGAAGCATGAGGTCCTCACCTAACAACAGTGCAGGCCTGGCCTAACAATTGCAACTGGGACTACCAGAACTGCCATTGTTAAGCAGTGCGGTTACCTGATGTTTTGCTTAACGAATGACCACTTTGCTTAGCAACAGAAATTCCAGTCCCAATTAGGGTTAAGCAAGAACTACATGTTGTTGTTCTTGTTATTTTATTCCTACCTTTTTTATATATAACACAAGGTGGTGAACACACCTAATACTTCTGCCTCCTATTTTCTGCACAACAACAACCCTTGTTCGATTCTTTGGGTAGGTATAACAAAACTCAGACTTCTTGCTGGTTAGCTGAATAAACTTTTTACACATGTATAGTAAATATGCACTATTAAATGTTTGCCTCATGCTAGTAAATACTTTAGTTTTCATTTACAATGAAATAAGACCTATATAATTAAGGAAATAAACCTCACCTTTTAAAATATGAAAATGCAATAGTCAAAAATCAAACAATAGTAGTTGGGCAAATTGTCGACCATTGTATAAGAAACTGAAATTAATCAAGAGTATCTTAAAAATTAGAACAGGAAGTTACTACTTTTTTTGACAGAAATCTTTATAATTTATCTCAGTCAACTATCACCTACCAAAATTGCTTCTAGTAAAGTCACAGTGTCTTGGCTTTCAAACTTTTTATTGTTTGTGAACCAGTGTATTAATTCCATTACTAAAGTCCCATAGAGTTGTCTTGTAACCTAAAAAGAAAAAAAAATGAAAGAATAGTTTATTCTATATTTTAGATTAATAATTACACTATAGAGAATTTCTCACTAAATGATCCCAACATTTGCTGGACTTTTTAAAAAACGCATACGAGCTGATTTCTTGGACAGCTTGAACTCTTGTAATATTTTATTAAATATTACATGCTATCTAGTGATTTCTACTATGTACCCTCTGAATTGATACAGAAATTATTGCTAAGTGGATCTTTGGACTAATTTGGACAATAGTCTTCAGTGCTATCCCAATGAACAGGTAAAAACTTCAACACATGAGGCACTGCAAAAACAACTCACGCATAGGCAATTCTCTGCAATATACAGTGGTACCTCGGTTCACGAACTTAATTCGTTCCGCGACTCTGGTCGCGAACCGAA